GAATAAGAATGAGGAGAAGGAGAATAAGGAGAAGGAGAAGGAGAATAAGGAGGAGAAGGAGAAGGAGAAGGAGAAGGAGAAGAAGAAGAAGGAGAAGAAGAAGGAGAAAGAGAAGAAGAAGAAGAAGGAGAAAGAGAAGAAGGAGGAGGAGGAAGGGGAGAAGGAGAAGAAAGGAAAAAAAAAATATTTAAAGAAGAGAAAACTCACTTGGTAAAGCCTGGAGTCGCCCCAACGCCACATGCCTTGCTACGCTTCAAGCTGTTGATCAGACTGCTCTTCCCCACATTTGGCAGACCTACGACCCCAACTGTGATGGCGGTCTTGATGTCCTTGTTGCGGCAGTAATTCTTCAGCAGCTGCATGAGTACCTCTGCACCGAGGGCCTTGGACGATGTCATCAGGTCATCTGTTACTTTCAGAACCCTGAGCGAGAGAGAGAAAAAATCATTTTGGTTATCATCCCCATAAATATCCATATATCATGTAGGTAAGGCATTCAGATTCTGATGCTTTTATTTTGCAAAACCAATCTCTTAAGCTATATATATCATGACTAGTAGAGAGAACGGGAGAGAGGAGGAAAAAAAAAAAAAAGTTTATGAACAGTGCATCCTGCTTACTTGGACGATGTACTAGCTGCATTCTGTCCCAAGTGCGAACCCTGTGTCTGTGTACTGGACTTGAACAGGACTGTGGGATATTCGCGACGCAGGTACTGGAGCCACTTCTCCAAGACGTCTCTGGGCACCAGATCGGCCTTGTTCAACACCAGCACCAGCTTCTTGTTGGCATGGCATGTGACAGAGGCCTCCATCTGGGGCACTCTGGATCCCAGGGGGTCACGGGCGTCAAGGACCTCTAAGATGACATCGGCTGCTTCCACCACCTGCAACAGTTGATATAGAGTAAAATAACTATTTCTCTCAACTTGTGTGTATAGTTAAGTATAGGGTATCTCTTCTGTCTTGTTAAGACACTGACAAATTCTAAAATTCAACATCAACAGAATATGCTGACATATAACAAATATCACCTGGACAAAACTTGCACATTTTAACCCAATGACGCCGGGTGTACTAAAGGAAAATAAAACTCTACGCTCTGGCAAACAAAGGCAGCGCGCCGACTTTGAGCGCAGGAGTACGGGGCGTCAGCCCGAATCACTGGCTCGCCGCGCTTTGGCGCGCCGCCGGCTGGTTTGGCCGCACGCCACCTTTCGAGCGATTTGTTTACACGCGTATCGCCGTCACCCGGCGGCAAGGGGTTAATTATTCATCAAACACTGTGTCTTTTCTGTAAAACATGCATAACATTACATCTTGCACAACAGATTAAAACTGATCATGCTTGTAGCAAAATCAATTTAAAAAATATAGTAAATGAACTGCCCACAAGTAAATAATGAAACTTAAACTTTTACAAATAACATATCAACCAAACCTTTTTCAACATCTCATATACCACAAACACCAACATTTCTCCCTCCCAGCAATCCTGTCCCTCAAATATACATAAAAATTAATTAATTTATTTATCAATTAACCCCTTAACGCCGGGTGACGCGCGTTAAGGGGTTAAGTCGGCACGCCGCTTTTGTTTGCTAGAGTGTAGAGTTTTTTTTTTGTTTGTTTTGTATACCCGGCGCCATTGGGTTAATGGCCATTCCTCGAGAATAGCATTAGCATGTGCAACTAATAGTGCTATTGCTTCAATTCACACCAAGTAACCAAATAAACAAAAATAAATATATAAAACAAAGAAACAAACACATTGTCTAACCCATCTAAGAGATCTCTTTACACAACAAACCACAGAGAAACTATGAAGACACTAAACAATGAAAATACACCAAGGATACAATTGAACCAATGACCAAGACTACAAATGCATGTGATGCTCCACCCAGCCTCCTCCCAACAAGATTCTCTCTCTCTCTCACCTTCTTGAACTCCTTGTAATATGCCTTGGCCGAGCGATCTGTGAGGCTGCCCTGTGCACTGGACTCTGCGGCCATCCTCTCCTCAAACTCCGCCCCACGCTTCTCGGCCGTCTGGATCATCTCGTTAATAGACCTGGAAGTGTGAGGGTTGAGGTGGTGAGAGAGGTAAGGTGACTAGAATGCAGTAGTGAATTAATACAGAAACTGAATTTGTGATAAACTGAGAGGAGAGGCAATCATTGAAAAAATAATTCTTCAGAGATACAATTTAATAATTACAAGATTCTTAAAAAGTGTTAGAATCAATGGCTCAAGAAAATAACTAACTAAAAACAACACCCCTAAATGATAAAAGATTAATATAGAGATAAAAAAGAGAAAGAAAGAAAAACCAAGATGGAAAAAAACAACAACAAAACAACAAAATGTCACCCACTCAGCACTCCTCGTATTAGCAAGCATCTTGGCCTTCAGTTCCTTCCTGCGCTCCTGGTTCTCCTTAATTTGCTGCAGCTTAGCCTCCTTGGCTTGCCTGGCCTCCTCGATGATCTTGTCATAGAAGGGGAGGGTCTTGGGTACACCTGGGTCTTTGGGCTTTTCTGAAATTGAAGAACTGATGAGCTCAGGATTGATCTAAAGGATGATATCTGCATTTAATGATTTATCAATGCCTGTATCTGTCTTTCTGTCTGTTTTTTCTATTCATCCAATTGTCTGTATGTGCCTGCTTGCCTCACTGACTGACTAAGTCAGATAGATAGATAGATAGATAGATAGATAGATAGATAGATAGATAGATTGACAGACAGATAGACAGGCCCTTCCTTTGAGGTTCATCTCTGATATTATAACTTATTTTTTGGCATGAATTTGGTTGTTATAATAAATAAACATATAAATAAATGAACGCAAATGGAAGTAATGAAATGATAATGAAAGAAAAAAAAAGAAGAGAGAAAGAGACGAGACAAGACTTACTTTTTAAGAGCTCTGGCTGTTTCCTCTGGATCTTCTTCTGCTTCTTCTTGTGAGCTCGCACCTTTTTCTCAATCATGTATTTCTTTTTGAGGGTCATCTTCTTCGACTTCCTCCCTGTTGGATGCAAGTTTATTAGTAACATGTTCTTCATCATCATTATAATCATAATAATATTTATAATAACAACTGCTTATTATTGTCATTATCATCACTATCACTGCCATTATTATAATCACCACAATCATCATCATCATCATCTTTATCATTGTTTCTAACACAAGAATTATTATCAAGAATCAGACAAAGAATGAAGTATGTGGCTTGTCATTATTATTGTTATTATCCAAGAGGGACTCAGAATATTAATCAAACATCTGCAATTCCAGCTCTGTTGGTCAGAATGCATCTGGTTAGATAAGGCAGAAAGCACCACGTCTGTGCTTTAAACTGTTTCACATTTTTTTGTGTTGCTTGGTGTGGTTTACTTGATGTACGGTGTCAGTTTATTTATAGCTCAAAATGGGGATTCCTTTCTTAGGAATCTCCTGGAAATGACGTCAAGCAATTACTCTACAGTCATGTTTTTTAATTAGCCAGATCCCTCTGGCAGTTACGTTGCTGCCACTCATCAAATATTTTGCTTCAAAGTGGACTTCTATAGAAATAAGGTAAACCACATGTATTTATTCAGCTCTTACACTAAAATGGACCATCTAGAACACGTTGGCAAAGTTTGAATGAAATCCATTAATGTGGTCACCCTAAAAACTGCGCCATCCCAAGCCACATCTGTGTGAACCAATGTGGCCGTCACTGTTGTTGTGCAAGAAGGCATGTTGTAAGGGATAAAAAATTTGCCTTCTCTTTGTCGATTTTGCATTGTTATGAAACTGTCAAAACACGCCCTTTGCATATTTTAGAAATTGTTTGACTAATCATTTTTAGCCATTCACATGTTCCCAAGATTTCTTGTTGAAAAATAATTTTACAGTGATTGTAAATTGATTTTAAGTGATTTAACCATTGTTCTAAAGATCCAATTATTATCTCCTGATTGGATCATTAGTAGCTCAGTAAGATTAATAAACTGAAACTTTCAAGACGATATCTCTATTATAAGCGAAGTTACACTAATTTAAGTCTAAAAATGTGATATCTGAGGCCTCATTTTTCCCTATATTTTACACACTAAAAATTGCCTAACTTATGCAAATAATTCTTGTCAAATCTCTGGTTCAGATTATATCAGAGTAATAATGCTTGTGTCGCTGTATTGCATTTTTCATGAGGATTCTAAATATATATTTTTTTCATTCTATGACTACTGTGAAAAATTTACTGCCATCCCTAATGTGGTAGAGGTTCTAAAAACACTAACAAACCTCTACCACATATATTTTTGCAAAGAGAGCTTGAACAAATGTTTAATTAACATATGCATGTGCACCACCGGCCTTGCAATGGTCAGCAAGGTCTCTCTGCCTTTAAACCCTAAGGCAAGATAGAGCTCATAAGCCCCCTTGGCAAATTTATCATCAAACAAGTACCCAGTCCAAGATTTACAAACATATAGCAGATTCTAATTTAATTTAGAATGCAAAAGCCGCAATGATCATTTCACAATCCAGCTGGGCAGATGTTTATTGAAATCCCTCCCTCAAGCAGAACGCAGACGATATAATGGTGATAATTATTCAGGTAATGGAGTCCCGTGCAGATTACCAGTCTAATAAATAAGGCCCATTTTGAACGCCATTGTGGGCATCCGCTAAATACTTTCCTCAAATCTAAAAAAAGAAATAATTATTATGTGCCCAAGTTACGTACATGATAAAATATGTGGAAAAGACCCGATCCAAATTTCTAAGCTTAACAATTTACAATCTACACGAACCATCGCGGAGTTCGCTCCCTTAAACAACCAAAAACACCAAAAAGCACTTACTTTTGGCCACCATCTTGAATTATTTTTATTATTTCTTGTAATAAATACACACTCTCCCGTCCTCCTTCCTCGCACGTGTTTACGGTCCCACAACACGAGGCCTTCTTGGAGCTTGGAGGGTTTGTTTACGTCCGTCTCTTTCGGCCAATCAGAATGCGCAAAAGACTGACTCCTCGTTTCTGATTGGTTAGAAGGCCTTGAAGACTGATTCCTCGTTTCTGATTGGTTGGAAGGCATTTAGGAATATTTTTTTGGATTTTGAGGGCTTGTATATCTATTTTAGATGTCTTCTGTGTTTTTCCGTAATGATATGTGTTTTTAAAGATTTTCTAAGGTTGAAAAAATGTTTTATTTCTCCGTATATATTAATATTTTCACGGCAGCTCTATTTTTTTCCGGAAAGTAAAAAAAAAACAGAAGTATCCACTACAGTGACTTTCTAAGATACAAAAAATCTATCAATACATAAATATATACTAATAAAGCTATAGACCTGATAATATCAAGCCAATAATCTGAGTACTTATTAACCGGACCCGAAATTCTGTCCGGGTTACGTGACTCGCTGTCAAAACAAAAATGGAAGACGTGGCAGATGTAAACATTGGCCGGGTAAGAGAGAATTTATCCATCTGGGAGGACGACAAGACCCCCCTGGCACCGCTGACCTCACAGGAGAGAGACACAATCATCGAGCTGACCTCCGTGTCCGGCTGGCGACCTCTACCCCCAAGTTTGACCTCGGAAGAGACGAGAAGCGATGGCGGGAGGGAGGAAGGGGGAGGAACCAACAGGGCCTCGGAATATCCTCTTGACAGCTCCAAGAGGGATTCTCTGTCGGAGCATCACCTCTCGGACAGCTTGGCGAGGCTCAAATTGGGAGAGGTTAAGATAGAGTCGAGTCAGCAGGTTAGTATTAGTAGTATTATTGGTATTCGATGGGAAGGGTTGGGCTCGGGGCGACGGGGTTTCATGCGAGGCGATTTGCCACGATTGCGGATATTTCGTGTTCGATTTTTTCTGTTTCCTTTTCCTTCGTCATTCCTTTATGACTACTGTGGAATCTAAATCTATATCTTTGTTAAACGGATTAAAATTATGAATACTTTAACTTCTAAGAGATGAATATTGTGGACAATATCTTAAGTGCATGTAGATGGTAATTTGTATGGCTATCAGATAGTAATATGGAATTACTATAAACTGGTTCTGCATGTTAAATTCAGTCTGTAGCAGGGTGTTTTAACATCACTGCTAAATTCCAGCTGAAGAAACACAGTACATAATGGAATGTATTATAAATGTTTTGAGAATTCTTGTATATTTCTGCTTTTCAGCCATAAATGCAAAAGATATTTGTCTTAGTACTACAGATCAACAAGTTCAGTTGTATGATGATTTTGAATGATATTTATTGGTATCTAGATGTGTAATTTTTAGCATTTATTTCTTGAGATAGTTTCAAATACTAGTCTTGTAAGATAAACTTTATTTGGTTATAACTTAGCACACAAAGTATAAGTCTATGTTACTTGGATATTCCAGTAGTCATTATTACCAGATTTAGTTGTTATCAGAGTTATAGTGGTTCATTTATATAAGATAGAAGAAAATGTTTATTATATAAAAGGTTAATGTGATTGTTTCCACAGTTTTTAACATGGTTTGCTGGAGTAGAAGCTGAGATGTGCGAAGAACAAGATGGGCCATATCGAGACTATGTCAGTCAGTTGGTCAGCCACCGCTCAGAGTGTCAGACTCTCCTTGCTCAGCTTGACGAAGCACTCAACAACTTACAACATTTATCAGGACAGGTATTTTGGATTTATTTTTAAGGCTGTCATATATTTCAGATCCTTTTTCATATTGAAGACCTTAGCATATTTGATCTATTATTAAAAACAAGCATTCTCATTACATTGCTCTATATGATTTTGATCATAGAGACAGATATGAAAAGAAATACCAATAAACAGGTTTATTACAGAATTCTTTACAAAAATGTTTATACAAAGGTATGTGTAGATACTGTGCATGTTTTTATTAATCAGAATTTAACTAATGATACATATTAGTAAAGAGAAACTGCTTTTCTCTTCTACCAACAGTATACTAGTGTATCCAACAAGACAAGTGCACTTCACACTGATTGTGAGCACCTCTTAGCTGAACAGACTCGACTCACAAACAAGGCAGACACAATAGAAAGCAAGCTAGCCTACTTCAAGGAAGTCGACCGAATAAGCCAGAAGCTAAGCTCGCCAGCGTTCCAGGTCACGAGTGATGGTTTCATCCCCCTGCTGGCAAAGATTGATGAGTGCATCAGCTACATGAATACCAACCCAACATTCCAAGAGTCCGCACTCTACCTAGCAAAGTACAAGCATTGTCTGAGTCGAGCACTAGGCATGGTGAAGCTGTATGTGACCAAGTCCCTGGAGAGTGCCACCCAGCAAGTGCTACCCAAACCTGGCAATGAAAAGCCATCAAGTGACAATGCAGCCGTGCTCTATTATGGCAAGTTCAGGACTAATGCACCGCGCATAAAGACCCTCATGGCTGAGATAGAAGACCGGGTAGAAAATAGCCCTGAATACCTGAACCTCCTCAGTGACTGCCATCAGTGTTATTTTGCACAGCGGCAGACGTTGATGGGCCCCTGTGTGGCCGACGCAGTGACTGAGCTGTCGCAGAAATACCAGCGTGATTACTGCTCACTAGTGCGAAGTGGCTGTGCATTCCTTGTGCATGTATGTGAGGATGAATACAACCTCTTTCATCAGGTAAGGAAGACCAAGTAATATCTTTTGTATAATCAGCCAAGTAAATGAGTTTATTTACTATAATTTAATCAATCTGGTTATGGTTTATCTTACATTTAATTTTTTTGTGCTTGTCTCCTAAGGTAAAGGATAAAAATTAATTAAGGAAAGTTCTAGATTCTTCACAAGTGTTTTTGAAGGATATATACAAAATTAGCACAGCTGTTAAAACATTTGTGTATAATGTTTAACAGATTTGCAAAGAAATTATTACAAATCATAATTTTTATGCAAATCTGTTAAACATTATATAAAGTTGTTATTATTTAGTAGTAGTAGTATTAGTAATAGTGTTATTATTATACACTTATTATTATGAATTATTATTATTATAATTATTGTTGTTATTATTATTATAATCATTCTCCTTAGTATTATTATTGTTTTACTATCATTTTGTTGTTATTGTTATTATTATCATTTTAATTATTATGATAATAATAATTATTATTATTATTATTATGATATTATTGTTGATATTATTATTATCATATTATTATATTGTTATTATTTTGTTATTGTTGTCGTTGTTTTTTATTATTATTATAATTATTATTATTATAATTATCATTATTATTATTATTATTGTTTTGTTGTTGTTTTTGTTAATATTTTTCTTCTTCGTCTTCTTCTTCTTCTTTGTATTATTATTATTATTATTATTATTATTATTATTATTATTATTGCTATTATTATTATTGTTATTGTATTATCATGTTATTACTGTTGTTGTTATTGTTATTATCATTATTTTATTATTGTTATTATTATTGTTATTATTATTATTATTATTATTATTATTATTATTATTATTATTATTATTACTAGTATTATCATATTATATTATTGTTATTATTATTATTATTATTATTATTATTATTATTATTATCATTATCATTATTATTGTTATTATTATTTGGTATTACTCTTATTATTTTTGTCATCATCAACATTATCATTATTGTTGGTGATTGTGGCTGTAATTGTAATTGATTAATTATTGTTATTGGTACTGGTGTCATTATTATTTTATTTTTATTTTTTTTAAATTATTGTTATTAATTATAATTATGATTATTGTAAGTATAACACTGGTTATAAGTATTATTATTATTATTATTATTATTATTATTATTATTATTACAATGCCTATTGCTGTTGTTATTGTTATGAGTAGTAGTAGTCGTAATATGATTATAGTGATGATGATGTGGATGGTAACTAGAAGTAGTAGTAGAATTAGTATTATCATTATATTAACCCACTGCTAACAGGCATGGTCTGTTCATACATGCCATGCCCACTGTGAATTTATTTTATTAATTGTTTTTACGCATAGATGGCTACACTTGTACTAAGTCACCAATGAGCCAGTTATGAGTACTGTTTCACCCATTTACCCTTTTCCTTGATTTACAAAAATATTTTACTTTATCGTATTTTGCTGTTACACATTATAGTTATTATAGTGTCTATGCTAAACATAACACCATCAGTATTCATATATTTCATCATAGTTGATATTAATGGTAAGTAATAGTAGTAGTAACAATAGAAATTTGTTCCTTAGTATCAGTAATATTTAATGGTTATTATCACTATCATCATTAGCATTAGCATTTTCAGTATCTTATTGTCATGCTAAGAAAAAATTGTTTATCACACATTAGATTATAATTACTGTGACTTGCTATGAATCAGCTGGAGTATGACCATAAGAAATTTTTCAGTTCTTCACAGCTGCCACCTCAGACCTAGATACTTTCCTCCTGGGATTGTGTACGGGACTGTACGACGTTCTTCGGCCCCTCATCATACATATAGACCACCTTGAAACACTGTCCGAACTCTGTAATATCCTGCAGAGAGGGTGAGTAGGCTTCATTTCTTAACCCTTTTCCATTTTTAGGTTAATGGAGATAATTTTGGAATTTTTGTAGTTAATTTTTATGTTCTTTTATTTACATATAGTTTTTTTTCTGTTTTGCTTTGAGGGAAAGGGATTAAATGAAACATGAGAAAAGGTAGACAAAGAAGAATTATATATGGGTTATGTCAAGGTAGAATAAGAGTCAGAGGAGTACCACACATCCAGTCTGAAATAGTTACCCCCTTGAGATGAGAGCAACAATGCACAATCTTGCAGGATGATCGAGGAGCACCTGCAAAACAATCCCACGCAGTTAGCCCCGCTCACCTCTGTGGTCAACCAGATGCTGGAGGACACACAGGAACGCCTCGTCTATCGTGCGCACATCTATATTAATGTGGACATTGCTGGCTTCCGTCCATCGCCAGGAGACCTTGCATACCCAA